AAATGAGATCTAGAAAAGCACACGATAGCTATAAAAACAGCTCATCCATCATCTCTACATTTTGATTCCAGAGACAGTGGTGAAAGGTGTTGTTTCCACACCACTCACCCTGCACACTTAAAAAGGTTTGCTCCATCACTTACACAACTGAAACTGATTGATTAGCTGCTAGAGAAAAATCGATACAAATATCCTAGAAAACACTAGCTTGTAAATTCATTCTGGCCCAACCAAGTCCTGGTCACCACTCGACATGTTTTTCTACGTATCTAAAATGCAACCGTGTCAAACCCAGCAAAATCAGCCCCCATTAATCCTAGGAATTTTTAAAACCTGAATCTCAGCAGAAGGGAGGACGTGAGGAGGAAGGTTTCACAACGGTCTGTGGGAACAACGAGCTGACACCCAGAAGTTACCTGGTAAATCTTAAATTCACATGCAGAACTCTCCTCAAAAATAAAACACACACTGAGAAGGCAAAAATGGTCAATGATGTAGGCTGAGTGAGAGAAAAAGAAAAAAAAAAATGCCAGAAAACCAGTTAAACAGATATAATTTATATACAGAAGAAATTATATTTCTTTTTAAACATACAAATAATGTGTAATGCTGTCCATTCAAAAGTTAACGAGCTCTCTCATTTTTTGGCAGCTGAATGCACAGTCGGCATATGTTTAGTATTGTGGGAGGCCATTTCATATTCAGAATAACTTCATGATTATTTCAGAATCTCTTCTGACTACTTCATTGCCTTCAGGTTAGCCTTTAGTCTCTTCACTCATTAGACTAACAAGAAATAAATTTTTATGAATATAAAATGTGTCATAATCACACTTGTAATCCCAGCACTTTGGGAGGCAAAGGTGGGCGGATCATCTGAGGCCAGGAGTTCAAGACCAGCCTGGGCAACATGGTGAAATCCTGTCTCTACCAAAAATAGAAAAATTAGCCGGGTGTGGTAGTGCACACCTGTAGTCCCAGCTACTCAGGAGGCTGAGGCAGGAAGATTGTGTAAGCCCAGAAGGCAGAGGCTGCAGTGAGCCAAGATCACACCTCTGCACTCCAGTGAGATCTCACTGCTAAAAAATAAAATAAAAAGTCTGATAAATATGCTATTCAGAACAAATTTTTGATGCTATTGTATGTTCTATCATATGACTGGAAACCTGGATTCTAATCCTCATTCCACAGTTGATTTAAAGTTTAAAAAAATCAATTTGTAATTCCGACATACAGGAGCCATTAAAAAATTAAAAGGAAAGAAAGAAAATGCCACTTTAAGGATGGGAAATTTAACTTCCATCCACAGAGTGGCTTTAAATGTAGTGCTACAATTTATTGGCAGCATATTTAGGTTTTTCATTACAGAGAAACTTTTCATAAAACCATGTTTGTTATTCATTATAAGACAGGCAATCTACTCATGATAGGATGTAGAACTTAAGAGTTTCTGGTCCAAAGAATATTCCTATCACCTGAATTATTAAGTAATTAAATATGCAAAAGTCATAGTAATAAGAAGAGTCATTTCTTCTATTATGTTTACTTTTATAACTGTTATTTGCAATTTTAAAGCTCAAACTTCTGATTTCTATAAGTGCATTAAAATCTCAATGTCTTTTGTAGAAAAAAATAACACTACTAAACGTTTTAAAAATATGAGCTTATAGACTGATGCTTCCTATTGTTGAAAGAGATTATAAGGCCACCTTAGCATGAATTTGTACTTCTCAGATTTAGAAAAGGAAAGGTAACTGTCATACCAAATATCTTCTATCTATAGAGAAGTTTTTCATAAAACATAATTCGGTCTCAAAAGAAAAATCTGTCATTTGATTTTGGTCATTAATGTTTTTTGTTATGGATGTTACAATATTCTTAATAGTCTTCTCTTCCTGGTTTTAGATTTTAGTTAAGTAATATTTCTTCTTCATAATATTGACGTAGACAATTACTTCATACATGTTATCTCAAATTCTTAAAACAGAAACATGAAATGTTATAGTAAGGAGAAAACCATAATCTTGGAGAGGTAAGATACTGTGTTCACATCATGTGTCTGGTAAGCAACAGAGTAGTATTTCAAATCTAAACTGCTTATAGCAAAAAGCAACAAATACCCCAGGACTTAAAATTTCCCTGGCTGGGTGAAGTGGCTCACACCTGTAATCCCAGCTCTTCAGGAGGCCGAGATAGCTTGAGGACAGGAGTTCGAGACCAGCCTGACCAACACAGGGAGAACCCATCTCTATAAAAACATTTTAGAATTAGCCAGGCTTGGTGGTGCATGCCTACAGTCGCAATTGCTGGGGAGGTTGAGGCAGGAGGATCACTTGAGCCCAACAGTTAGAAGCCGCAAGGAGCTCAGACTGCACCATGATACTCCTGCCTGAGTGACAGAGTATGAGACCCTGTCACACACACACAAAAATTCTAAAAACACGGGCTTATCTCACAAGTTAGCTCACCAGTCCAAAAACTAGCATTTGGTTTCAACTCTAGTACACAGATAATAAGACAACAGAAAAACCTGACGTTGCAAACATTCCATGGTTGGGAATAAAAAGACGTTTATCTTACTGATGTTGATAAGAGTAACCTTCTAATACTTGCATTACAAATAGCTACCATATTACTGCTAACCTCTGATATGTTCTTTGAATCATTCACCTTATCTGGTACAACCCACTTGGATATGACAATGTTAACTTACTAAAACCCTACAGAAGCAAATACGCTGTAACTTGGTTGCTCAGAGGGCATTTCTAAAGATAAATCACAGAGCTAAGGTGGATATTGTTACAAAAAGTTGTAATCGATTTATACAAACTATGTTTCTGAGGCAGGAGAGAGTAAGGTCTGGAGGCAGGGAACCTAAGGCCAATTCACCTTGACTTCCTAGCTAAATAGATAGGAAAAAAAAAAAAAAAAAACAACTTTCCAGCCTAATAGGACCAGAGGCTACTCCATTTAGAAACCCCCATCTTTTCTGCAGGGCAGCTGGGAAATTGAAAGTACTTCTGATTGGTTGCTTTCTGCAACCAGTCAGACATTTGTATAGGTGTGAAACTTTGTAACTTCACTTCAGCTATCCACAACCAATCAGATATTTGCATGGGAGTGTGACCTTTGGAACTGCACTTCAGCCTCTGATTGGTTTCTTTCCACAACCAATCAGACTGACTGCAGACCACCACTTCATTTACATGGGGTGAATACCAAGTGGCCAATGGGAGACCTCTAGGAGGTGTTTGGATCCCAGAAGATTCCGAATTCACGCCCTTGAGCCGCTGCTCAGACCCGCTCCCACCCTGCGCCGTGTGCTTTCATTTTCAGTAACTCTCTGCTTTTGTTGCTTCATTCTTTCCTTGCTTTCTTTGTGTGTTTCATCCAATTCTTTGTTTAAAACACAAAGAATGTGGACACCCTCCACCGGCAACATTTCTGTCTTTTTCCTCAAGTCACATATAATATCCATGCATGCGTCTAATATGAAGTCGTGAAGCAATCATAGCTAAACGTTAGCATAAGTTACAGGTGAGGATAGATGTAAGCGAGTGAAGAGGGGATTTTCACTTTCCACATGGCAATTTTACAGCTTTATAGTTTTCAAATGAATTTCCAAGTAAAATGAAACAGATTTTTTTTTAAATTATATGCAGTTGCACTTAGAAATGCACGATGTTAGAAAAGTACAAATTGGCATGCCTTCTAAGTTGCAGTGTTTGGTTGATAGATCGTCTGTGTTTAATATTCCCCTTATCTGACAGCTATATGAAAAAACAAACACTAATTAAGAATGCCAGCAAAGGTTTTTTTCAAAGAGATTTAGTTTCTGGGCAAATTTTTGCCCATTCTAAGAAAATCCACAGAAGTACTGGGTAGGCTGTGGAAAAGATAACCACCCAGGCTTTTCCTCAGATTAGATAATAATCTGGCTTTAAAAGGAGAACGCTGGTAAGAGTCAGTACATTTCCTTTATTTCTCTCTCAAAACTAGTTGAATGTGAAAGGAAGAGGGGATTGAGCTAAGAAAATACAAGTAGAGAAAAACTGTTGGGGGCATCAACAAATCAAGCAAGGGGATGTTTTTCTCTATTAATTCCAAATTCATGTTTCTAAAAGCTTTCTATAGACTAAACAAAGAAATGAATTTGGAATTCATACTTTCTGAGACCCAGAGTAGGAAGTACTGACAGCAGCATGTGAAGTTACTTGCTGAAAAAGAAAAGCACAATGCCAATAACTATTAACCTGCAAGATTATGAGACAACAGATTATCTCACGTCGGGAGTAAAAACACACCACTGTTACATCCACATATGATAAAGAAAGGCAAAAGAGGAAGTTTATGGTGTGAGCAGTTACACCTCCACACCACTGTGACTCATGTTAAAGGTAAGTCTTAATAGACGCTGAGAGAGACCTAGCTAATCTATTTCCCAGCAAGTGACGACTCCGAAGTAGTTAGCCACCCCACTCAATTCATTTTCATTAGGCCTCTCCCCCTGTACCACTCTTTACTGTTCCGACAGTCCTGTGGATAAAAAGGGTAGCCTCCTTTATTGGCGGATACAAAAGCCTATCTTCTTCTTCAAAGGCTTCTACAAACCCTCATTAGCTCTACCATCTGAATGGTCCAAAAATGCCAAAGAAAGAGATGAAAAATCTGAGTATTTCACTTGTCCAAAAACATCTTAACAGACATCAGAGGCTCATGGATTTCATTTTATCTTATTTTTACTCCCATGGAGTCTAAAGATGGGTGGTAAAGTTCAAAATACATAATTTACCTTAGCGTGATCAGAAAACGGAAGAGCAGTAAACAAAGAGTAATTAAGGTAAAAATAACCTGAGTGATTCAATCTGGTCACATCTTTCATTAGTTAAGCTGATATATTCGTAAAACTCTTCAGAAAACTAAAGAAGTTTGTCTCTAAATAGAAGACTAATATAATTTATTAAGAAGACAATTTCACATGTAATTCTAGAAAGTCTTACCTTGAAAAGATTGTTTGGCTCTGTCTACTAGCTCATCAATCGGGTAACTGGCCAAATTTCCTCTGGCATGTTTAGTTTTGCAGTAGGTACAAGCATTGAGACACCTGTTCAAATGATAACAATAAATAAGACTCACATTTCTAAAGACAGTGTACACTTAACATGGGGGTACCTCAAAATATAGACAAAAGTGCTCTTTCGGGAACATTTGCATACTATATACAAGAGATTAAAAAACCGAGTATCTGCCATGTCTCAGAGTTATTTTATCTCCACCAGACACAAAAATCTGCAATTCTTTTCAGTTTCAACCACTCAAGAATGGCTGTACAAATCACATATTACCTAAAAATGCACGTATCTATGAGGAAGAAAGTTTAAAAATGCCTATAATGACTAATCAAAAGAAATTCAAGACTGACATTACTTTTCATAAACAATTGACATTTCTTTGGCCATCATATCTAGAAAGTTTTGGTATCACTTATACATACTATATCATTCAGAAAGGATGACACTCATTTAACTTTTGACTAATGGTATAAGAGTTAAGTAGATAATATAGCATTCTCATAAGAAAATGCACCCTTAGAAATTTTTAGATGATACTTTTCACTCCTTGAAATCAGGAAAAAATATTAAAGCAAGTTCAATGAATAGTTCTCTGAGACTACATTAATCAAAGTAAAAAAGTAGACTGACAATATTAGCTTTAAAAAAATTAAAAACGGCATATTTCTCAAGAGTATTTAGACATGTTAAAGAACTGTCTTTTTAGAACTAAAATATTGATTCTACTCTTATAATATTAAAATATACCTTAAATAAATTTATTACAAAATAAAAGACACAGTTACAAAATAATAAATAGTCCTGTATCAAAAAGATAAGCCTCAATAACACTGACCCAAACAAAAAAGAACATCTCTTCCGTGACTCAATTGTTATAATGAGAAGCAAGGCTTTAAAAGACCATCAGTATACAAATACTTTAAAATTTCATAGTGAGAATAACTGTTCCTTCAATAACTGAATCTGACCCATGTGTAATTTTATTAATACATGACTTTAAAATACATATGAATCACTGTACTCAGCAGTCAGATATGCAGTGCTTAATTTCTAAGAATTTTTGCATGAGATCCTTGAGTAAAGTAATAGACATTTTAAAACGTGGTTTTTTTTTTTTTTTTTTTGAGAAAAAAGAAAGGAAGAAAAAGAAAGCAAAGAAAAAAAAGGAGAAAGAAAGAAAAACAGAATAAAAGAGAGAAAGAAAGAGGAAGAGAAAGAGGGAGAAAGAATGGGAATCCTGCTCTATTGCCCAGGCTAGAACGCAGTCTAAAAATGGGTATTAAAAACCTCTTTATGCCAATAAATGTGCTTAATAATGGAGACAGGAAGGAATAAGGGAGGAAAATAACAAACAAGCAGCCAACCAATATTTCATTTAAACCTGTGAAATGCTATGCAATTGCTGAGGAGTGATTTACTTCCAATTTTGTGGTCACTTTTAGAATAGGTGTGATGTGATACTGAGAAAAATGTATGTGTTGTGGATTTGGGGTGGAGAATTCTGTAAATGTTTATTAAGTTTACTTGTTCCAGGTCTGAGTTCAAGTCCTGGATATCCTTGTTAATTTTCTGTCTTGTTGATCTGTCTAATATTGACAATGTAGTGTTAAAATCTCCCACTATTATTATGTGGGAGCCTAAGTCTCTTTGTAAGTCTTTAAGAACTTGCCTTATGTATCTGGGTGCTCCTGTATTGGGTATGTATATATTTAGGATTGTTAGCTCTTCTTGTTGCACTGATCCTTTTACCATTATATCCTTCTTTGTCTTTTTTGGTCTTTGTTGCTTTAAAGTCAATTTTATCAGAGACGAGAATTGCAACTCCTGCTTTTTTTTTTTTTTGCTCTCCATTTGCTTGGTAAATCTTCCTCCATCCCTTTGTTTTGAGTCTTTGTGTATCCTTGCATGTGAGATGGGTCTGGATGCAGCATACCAACGGGTTTTGGCTTTTTATCCAATTTGCCTGTCTGTGTCTTTTGATTGGGGGCATTTCATCCATTTAAATTTGGGATTAATATTGATATATATGAGTTTAATACTGCCATTTAATGCTGGCTGGCTGTTTTGCCCATTAGTTGATGTAAATTCTTCATTATGTTGATGCTCTTTACCTTTTGGTATGTTTTTGGAGTGGCTGATACTAGTTGTTCTTTCTATGTGTCATGCTTCTTTCAGAAGCTCTTGTAAAGCAGGCCTGGTGGTGATGAAATCTCTGAGTACTTGCTTGTTCGCAAAAAAATTTATTTTTCCCTCACTTATGAAGCTTAGTTTGGCTGGATAAGAAGTTCTGGGTTGAAAGTTCTTTTCTTTAAGGATGTTGAATATTGGCCCCCACTCTCTTCTGGCTTGTAGGGTTTCCGCTGAGAGATCTGCTGTGAGTCTGATAGGCTTCCCTTTATGGGTAACCTGACCTTTTTCTCTGGCTGCCCTTAGTATTTTCTCCTTCATTTCAACCCTAATGAATCTAATGATTATGTGTCTTGGGGTTGCTCTTCTTGAGGAATATCTTTGTGGTGTTCTCTGTATTTCCTGGAGTTGAGTATTGTCCTGCTTTGCTAGGTTGGGAAAGTTTTCCTGGATAATATCCTGAAGAATATTTCCCAGCTTGGATTCATTCTCTTCGTCACATTCAGGTACACCTATCAAACGTAGATTAGGTCTTTTCACATAGTTCCATATTTTTTGGAGACTTTGCTCATTCCTTTTTAGCCTTTTTTCTCTAACCTTGTCTTCTCATTTTATTTCATTAAGTTGGTCTTCCACCTCTGATATCCTTTCTTCCGCTTGACCAATTCAACTGTTAAAATTTGTGCATACTTCACGAAGTTCTCGTACTGTGTTTTTCAGCTCTACTAATTCACTTATATTCCTCTCTAAATTGTCTATTCTCGTTAGCATTTCATCAAACCTTTTTTCAAGGTTCTTAATTTCTTTGCATTGGGTTAGAACATATTCTTTCAGCTCACAGAAGTTTCTTATTATCCACCTTCTGAAGCCTGATTCTGTCAATTCATCACACTCATTCCATTGCTGATGGCCTTGTTCCATTGCTGATGAGGAGCTGCGATCCCCTGTAGGAGGAGAGACATTCTGATTTCGGGTATTTTCAGCCTTTTGGCGCTGGTTTCTTCCCGTCTTTGTGGATTTTCCCACCTGTAGTCTTTGTAATTGCTGACTTTCAGACTGTGTCTCTGAGTGGACATGCAGCTTGTTGGTGATGAAGTTTTTTCTGTTTCTTAGTTTTTATTTGGCAGACGCCCCTCCCCCACAGAGCTGGACCTTCTCAGGTTCAGCTGTGCTTGCTGTGAAACTCTCAATCTTCAGTGCTTCCAATTGCTGGTTTTTTTGTGGGGGCACTGCGTGTCTACTGAAACAGTCACATTGCGATTCGTGGAGCTTTTCTGCCTGGCAATCTCCTGGTCTGGCTCCGCACTTCAGTCCCCTTTTCAATCAGCTGAATGGGCGACTCTGCCTTCCCGGAGCTCCAAATGCCAACTAAAAGGGCACCCAGTCCCATATACTCCGCACTGAGAACCGCCGCACCGGGGCACCGGCGAAACAGCTGCGCCGGCCAAGAGTTGTGCTGGTGACCCGTGGGGCTCCTCCACTGGGAATCTCCTGGTCCGTGGGCAACAAAAATTCGTCTGGAACTGTGGCATCCACTCACTCTCTGCACTTTCACTGGGAGCTACAATCCTGAACTGCTGCTAATCAGGCATCTTGGATCTCTCTCTCTGTAAAACATGTTTTTAATATGTAACAGACCACATGATCTTCAACTGCTAACAGTCTTTTCCTCCTAAGCAATTTATCCTTTTAAAATAAACACAAATTGTGCCTCTTACAAATATAGTCCCCCAGTTGTTAGATGTCTTCTCTTTACATTTTCTGTCCTTTCCATAACAAGGGAAAGGAGAAAACCATTGTATTGCCTTTTCCTTGAGAGGATAACTCGATCGTGTTTAGTCCTTACTGAGCACCAGACACTGTTATCAATATTTTCTTTTTCTATTTTTTAAAATAGAAATGAGGTCATGGCCGGGCGCGGTGGCTCACGCCTGTAATCCCAGCCCTTTGGGAGGCTGAGGCCGGTGGATCACGAGGTCAAGAGATCGAGACCATCCTGGTTAACATGGTGAAACCCCGTCTCTACTAAAAATACAAAGTTAGCTGAGCATGGTGGTGCGTGCCTATAATCCCAGCTATTCAGGAGGCTGAGGCAGGAGAATTGCCTGAACCCAGGAGGCGGAGGTTGTGGTGAGCCGAGATCGCGCCATTGCACTCCAGCCTGGGTAACAAGAGTCAAACTCTGTCTCAAAAAGAAAAATAGAAATGGGGTCTTGCTATGTTGCCTTGCTGTGTTGGTCTCAAACTTCTGGGCTCAAGCAACCCTCCCTTCTCAGCCTCCCAAAGTACTGGGCTTACAGGAGTGAGCCAAGGAGCGTCTTATTGATACTGTATATGCCTTATCTCATTTAATCTTTTCAGAGTTGGGTTTCTCTATCTCTGGCTTACAGACAAGAATCTACCTCAAAAAATCAGATAAGTCGCTTGCTCATGGCCATGTAACAGCTGAGATTCAAATCCAGGCCAGTCAGATTTCAAACTCCAAGCTGTTTCCATACCAAGCTGCCCCCTCCCACAAAAATTGAGTGCCAAACATCTCAGCTGCATAAAAATGCAAATATTAAGACCTGCAAATCATCAGACATGAGATATAAACTAATATGGCACATATATTCAAAGATATGGCCGGTACTTACCTTCTTGAAGCTCGGTATGAAGCTATTGAATTATAATATGTGTTTCTCTCCTTTTTTCTGTGGGAATCTAAGGCCAGGCTTCTTGTCCATCCACTGCCCTAAACCTGTCTTTTTCATTCTTGTTTACAAGTCTGTTTTTCATCCTCCTGTTGGTTCTTTGTGAAAACGTGCCACTGCATCTGATTTTAAATTCTTTTCATGTTGTTGTTTCTTTTTTTTGAGACAGAGTTCCGCTCTGTTGCCCAGGCTGGAGTGCAGTGGCGCAATCT